TCCCTTTCATAATACTCATTCACTTAAGACTATATACAAAAGGCTTCCTCTTTTTATTTCTTTGGCATTTCCTTTCTCTCTTCCATGTGTATTAGCTATAAAAATTTACTTATAAAGATCATTCGGATCACATTACATCATGCCATACATTTCCTGAGTTAGGAATTTTCGAAGGTACTATTTAAATACTATTTTTCATAAAATATTTGGTTATTTCAATAACTAATAGAGAAACACGGTCTTATTGTTGGATGGTAGCTTTATATTTATTATTTGGTTAGTATTCGAAACAACAATTTTAGTGGCACAATGGCAACTAGAGAAATAGTTGACTTAAGAGTTTCCAACATAGAGCCCCAAGTCTAGTTCAAGCTTGTTCAATATTTTTTCAATATATGTATCTAACTATACTGTATATAAAAGTGCAGAAAGTGGAGAAATATTTTTCAACAATTATATCCTCTGTTAAAATTTTTATTTCCTAATTAATCTTTCTTTTAAAATTTAATACTTAATGGGTTCACTCTTTTCTACCCCTCAATTTGCCCTCTTCATTGTACTGTATACATTCAAATTTGTTATTTAGCACCACCGGTGTTAAAACACCATCTAAGTGGCACTACAGTGGAATTAACGAATAGTTGCACTACATCGATCATCTCAGCATAGACAGTTCGTTCAGTTTTGACACCGCTAGCCATCACTAAACAAGTAGTTGTGCATGAATCATGATGCAAATCGAAACGTAAATCGAACACCACATAACATCAATTTACCTTAAAAATACACCGGAAAGATATTAATACAAAAAATGGAGAGCATAAAGAGGGTTTATAAGACAAAAGACAAAGTTGATAAATAGAAGGCATGATTATTTTCTAAAGGGTATAAGAAAGCATTTGACGTCGTCTATAAAGAACTATTTTCTTTTGATGCAAGTCATGACATAATCAGGTTGTTGATTGCATTGAAAATGCAGAACTCGTGGCTTATATTCCAATTCTATGAAAAAATTGGCATTCTTACAAGCCGATTTAGAAGAACATGTCTTTATTGATCAACTTCCTGGTAATATAAAGCCTGGAAATGATTATGACGTATATAAATCATAGAGAGCTTTATATGGATTAAAACAAGTTCCAAAGGCTAGGTATAGGAGTATAAATGCTTATTTTTGGAAGGAATATTTTCGAAAATGTCCATATAAGCACACATTCTTTACAAAAACCGGAGATGGAGGGAAAACGGTCATGGCAAGAATACACGTAGATGATATTATTTACATTAGAAATGATAGTACGGAATGATGCATTATTTTCTCAGCATAGCAATTGTACAAACTGTGGTGGAACTTAAAAAAAAACAAAACCATATGTGCAAGAAATTTTAGACAAGTTTCAGATCAAGAATTGCAATTTAGTTAGCACACCAACTGAAATCAATTTGAAGCTTATTATCATGGAGGATTAAAGAAGGTTGCCATTACTCTTTATAAGCAAACTGTGGTAAGTTTGATGTATCTAACAACAAGGCCTGATATCGTATAAGTCTCATTAGTAGAGTCCAACATAGATGCATCTTCAGGCTACCAAGAGGTGAATGCTCACTTCTCTTTATATAAGAACCACTATA